AATAGGCCAGGACAGAAAGAGGAGTGATAGTGTAACCGTTTTCGGCAGAACGTTGGTCGAGGTATTGACTTCACTTGTCTCTTTGACGAGTTCGTAGCTTGGTACGGAGAATGGCAGCACTCACTGGTGATGCCGACTGCGACGCTGACTAAACGTTTGAGAATGTACCAAGTTTACGGTCTGATGCTGAGAGTTACGACAACTACAATGGCAGAGGACTTCGGACAAAGTGCGTTCTACTAAGTAGCCCTGACGACAAGACCAAGTTGCGACAACGAGGTCAACCTACTTCGAAAAATAAGTAATGTAATCGATTACTATTGCAAATACAATTTCTTCATTGATAATCCCATTACAGAATTTGATATGGGAAAATGTCTGCCCTTCAAATTCGAATTTGCCCTGTGACCCAAATGTACTCGTGGCAATATGGCGTAGTGGTTAAGGCGTCGAGATTATACGCTGTCCGCTTTTAATATATATAAGACGTAAGACAGAACCGTACAATTTTCTTGATCTAGTGCTAACTCTAGGCTTTTAAAAGATTGAATTCCAACTCTGATCATGTCTGTCATATGACGCACGAAAGCCTAGCTTGTTTTCCACCGAAACAAGGGAGAATGTCTTGTGAACTGTGTCAACCTGAGCGTCGTATTAAAACCAAATGGCTGTAGTACAACGGGAACCAGCTGCCGTCTTCTGGTGAGGTCGACTTTCAAGTCTTCATAATGCACTTTCATACGAAATGTAAGGCCCTCTAAAAACAAGTGGGACTCAAGACAAAGCTGGCTTCTCTGAAGTTGCATTTACAGTTATCGAGGCATTCTTTTTACTTCCCCTTAAACTCGATCGTACTAACAGGGGCAATTCTTAATTGCATTCGAATGCGTTTTCTAACTAATAGTTAAATTACTAGTCAAGGCGGCACAAATTCGTCAATTTCCTATGCTTTCCCAAATTTAGGTTGTTGAAATATGCAAATTACTCTAACTTTTCTTGGGCTTTACTCACCTATTTTCGAAAGAATGCATGCTAGCTTTCTATGCCATAAAATAAATGCAGCCTATTAAATTTAATATTTTCTGCAGGATCCTTTCTATGCATTTATTTTCCATGGGCTGTAATTGTTTTTTATTGCATTCATTTATATGTATAAATGCAGCATAAACCACACATGCGGCCTATAGGCTTTACGCGTCATGAGATGCGCCGTGTAATCGCCGAGCGTAACCACTACAAAGAACGCTTAATAGAATTGCAGGAAGCTGTGCGCTTCGCTGAAATCCTACATTTTAAAAGTCATGGTCGCCGGCAGATTTTACAGGCAGCCTTCGAGACTGGCTTTTCCGAATTAGGTGCCGGCGAAGTGCAAGGAGAGAGCAATGAAGAAGCCAGCCCCCTCATGAAGTGAGTTGGACTTTAGCCATTGTTTACTTTTCATACTCTAAAGCTATTCTGATATTGACTTCTATTAGATTACTTCCGAGATGAATAAAACATTGTTTGCTTTTTTTGCCCTTTATTAATCGTATCTCAACCATGCTAAAAAACTGTTGAACTCTTGCAATTTTTTTCTTTTCTTAGATTATTCAAATAATATGCTTTCTGTTCTGTTTTCACTTGCACTTCCTCTTTTTGCCCATTTCTCTTTGTCATTGGGACGGGTTGAATAGCATCTATGCGATTTAGAGGCACTGAACATTTGTAACCGATGTGATAATTCTACGGCTGCAAACATTTTATTCTCACCGATTTTCTCAACGTTTTCATAATGCGTAGTTTAGTAAATATGTACGAGTGACTCTTAAATTTTCGTGCCTGTTAAGAAGGTGTCCATTTTTCACATTGAATAGCTCCTGTGGTTCGTTTTATAACTCCCTTATTTAATCGTATTATCTGGCTATTCGATAGATAAAATCTTATTCAAAGGCCGGTCCGTTGCATAGCTGACTCTTAACTTTCTTTATCTATTTTATATTAGTTTAATCAGCTGACGTCATAGGTCTATTCTCTGTTGCTGCCATCTGATAATACACTTATGCGAAGATTATTGATGGCAATTAAGACAATATATAACATAAAGTTATCCCTCGATTATTATTATCTTTGAACCTTGGATTGAAACCAATCTAAA